GGGGACGCCCCCGGGGACGCCCCCCGGAACGCCCGGCGCGCCTCGCGCTCTCGCCGGGGCTTCCTTTGGCCTTCGCGCGACGCGCCATCCGCGCCCCTTCGCTTCCTTCGCGGTTCAGAGGAGCTGAGTCGGTGGCACGCTCCGTGGTCGTGTGAATGCAGCCCCCTGCAGGGGCCCAGTTACCCAGAGGCATAAGAACCTGGGTCTGGCCCGTGGCCCTTCCAGACCAGCTGTCCATCAGCAGATGCCATCCTTAGGCAGGGCTGTCTCACCCATAATCCCCGGCAACTGGAGACTCACTAGCTGCTTCTGAATCCATAACCAGCAAGCCACCTTTGGCTGGTCTGCAGAACCTGCGAAATTAGGGGTTCACCCATCTGACTGATTCTCCAGAGATCTTCACTTTTACCCTCTCAAACCTTGAGCAACCCCCCCCCCCCCCCCCCCATTACACCCCTGCCACTCCAGCATGAGAACCAGCAGGCTGACCTACGGGGGCCCTAGCAAGCAGGGTGGGAAACGTGCCCCATCTTGGCTTGGCACGGGGAGAATTGCTGCCCAGCTCTCTGCCCCAGCCTTGCCCCGTGCCTCTCCATCTCTCCTGAATGGAACCAAGTGGATGGGTTCACAGGGCTAAGCCGTGATTTGCCAACCACAATTAAATGGCGTCACGCAAGACGCACCATCCACGTTTCTGATGAGTGTGATGTCTGAAACAGGGATTCCCGGGATATTAGTGATCCTTTTGGGGTTGCACCCTGCAGTTCCTGATAAAACAGCCTCGAATTATAGCCATGTTCTCTCAACATGCTTAGCTAGGTGGGATCACGTCCCAGTATCCCCCGGAGTATGCAGGCTTAGCTGTGGTTTCCTGACTCAGGTTACCCACCTTCCCAGGATCACCTCAGTCCTCCCATCCAGCCTCTCGATGCAGAGACAAACATCCCGTCTTATTATTACAGAAAATGCCAGCGTGGCAACTTGAAGTGGAATGCTCCAGCCACACTCTAGGATTATAGTATTTTTTTCTTCCCCCACCTGGTGCAAGTGAAACCAGGACCAGAAAGGAGTGGAGGAAACCACGTTCAATAAAAAATAAAATAAAGCCATCAGCCACTTGGCTGGGATAATAGCCAATATGGTTGCCTCGGACTGAACCCGTCTGCCGCGGCACCCGTCATCCACCACAAACTGGATTGTGGGCTAAGTCGGTTATCCGGGAGCGAACCTGATTCATTTGACTGTGTTGGGCAGAGAGAGGCCCATGCCTCGGAATTTCCCAGGCCATCACTGTATTTTACTTGTACAGCAGTCTTGCAATATGCAAACATAAAATGCATTGTACTGTATTGCGAAAATGCCATGAATTAAGGCACTTGTTATACACCTTTCTGGTTTGAAGTTGGCTGGTTTGAAGAGTCCACTGGAGTTGGACAGCCAATAAATCTGAGTTCACAATAATAATGTGTATTTTTTGCAAGTCTCCTCAACCACCAGTGGTTGCTCCCGGTCTGCTGCCTTTGTCCTCTGATGGAGACCCTCTTCTTACCCCGTATCCCCCAAACTTGATTTTTCCACCGCTCCTGAGCCAGGAGCAGGAAGGGCCCTTTCCACTGACCATCCCAACTGACGTGTCTCACCTTAGTCACCATCCAAGGACATCTGGAAACATGAATCCCCCCCCCCAGCAAAAAAGGGGAGAATAAATTTCCACAACAGCATCCTTGCAGCCACTACCAAGGGAGTCTACCCCCCCACCCAACGCCCAGAATCCATCCTCAGTCAAATACAAAACGCCATCTGTATTGGATCCAATTTTTTTTCAGAGTCTTCTTAAAATGTTCGATCTCGCTCAACCCAGGCCGAATTAAATAATGAATGAGGACCATAATGAAGCAGAACCATAATGAAGCCAACAGCAGAAGCCACAAATTGGAAGTGGCTACAAAGCCCCCCAAATCAGGAGGAGTCTGGTAGCACTTTTTCCAATGCGCACATTTCATTAAAAGGCAGCAGCTTTTTAATTAAGACTTTTAAGGAATTTTTAGAACTCCTAATTTTTTGCCACCACCGATAGACACAGCTGTCCTCCTACAATGTCTCCAAAGCCCAAAGTGATCACCTTCCTGGTACCTATAAACTCTGGGGTTGACTTTGAAAAAAAAAAACCCACTAAAACTTTGCTCAGAAGTTCAGAATGGCTCACTTGGATCAGCAGAAGAACTATTTTGGGGTTTTTTTAAGCAGTAGCAAAGGATCACAAGAGAAGTTCAAGGTGGGGAGCAAGGCCAAGGAGAAAGTTCTGGAGTTTGGCAACATGCATTTTGCATGACCAGCATCTCCTCCAAGGCAGCCACGGCGGGTGCTCCTCCCTGCAAAGAGCCCATTAAAATCGGAGAGGGCGCATCAATATTGCAGATCAGAAACGTCTCATTATTATTTCAAGGCATTGGTGTATTACCGCTCAGGTCTTCTGCTGCTTTTTGAAAGGCAGATCTGGGCTGCCGTTCCCCCTCTCCCCCCTCCAAAAAAAAAA